CATTTCCAGTCTCTTTAACAAGCACAAAAACTTGGCAGTTTATCTAAAAGCTTCCCAAATGGAGGCAGAAGGTGTATCGTTTCCTAGAGTTCTGTTTGTGCATAGTTTGCCTCACGAAGGTTGTAACCTACAGATTAAATTCTTGCAAGAAACTGTATTTTCTGGTGAGTGTGGATGCTTTTAGGACGCTTTCCGAAGAGGGCAGTGCTTTGCCAATGGACCACATTTTAAGGTGAAAGTGTGAAGTTTACAGGAAGCCCAGGATCCAGTCTGGGTTTCCAGTGCCTATAACCTCATGCCCACTTAAATGGTCTGTTCTTTTGCTTACTGCCAATACCCATGCCAGCCTATGAGAGAGACACCTTCATCGTTTCTTACCTGGTGAGTGAATTCTGAGACTAGGACCTGAGATGTTAAATACTTTAAAAATGTTGATGTCATATGACCATGCTTCTTAAATATCAGCGCTTATAGAGGGTGAAGAGATCACAAGCCATTTGGGAAACAGGAGCAGGAGTACATCTTAGGGAGACAATGATCCATCAAAATTCCACAAGGAGATGTGATGTCATAAGCATGAAGACGAGTGGGTGACTGGATGCCCCACTTAGGAAGAAAAGATTCAACAATTGGGAAGACTGAGGTATTAGATTCAAGACAGACCCTGGCCTGATTAGCTGGAAGCATGCAAATCTTACTAATAGTGGCACGTTCTGTCCTTTTTGGAAAGAAAGAATTATCCACAGTACAATGTTATGAAGCCTTTATCTCAAATGTCATGAATTTTCACAGAAATTCAATTATTCCAAATTGCATATGTGTGTTCATTCAGGACAGAACATGGATGTCAATGTATTTCACCCGATAGATAAATAGCCAAATGAGGAGGTGAGGTGGTGGCTCAGGCCTTAAAGTGCTCGCTGTGGAAGCATGAGGACTCATGTAAGAAAACAAAGAAAAGCAAAAACCATAGGTGTGGTGGCACATGCTTGTAAGCCCAGCGGTCAACAGGAAGAGACAGGAGAGTCCCTGCAGTTCATCAGCCCAACAGACGAGCTTCAGGTCAGTAAGAGAGATGATCTCAAAAGCCAAGGTAGCTAGTGAGTGTCTAAGAAACAATACTCAAGGTTGAACTCTGGCTCCATACACACACATACACACACGTGCACCTGCACACACATATATAAAATGAATTGGCAATTGCCTTGGGTTTTCATCTTTGATAACCATGCTCATGATTGAGTGAGTCAAGTTCTAACACTGGAAGCCCAGCTGTCACTTCCATTGAGTGCTCCCTGACTGTTAAGCTTTTGTGAGTTCTTACGTTGGCTTTTTATAATTATACCCATTGGATCCAGTTTCCTTTAGTGCACTCAAACAGCTCCTGTGGGTTGAGAAAATAGATGCTAAAGTTATTTTTAAATAATATCAAAAGACAAGCAAACACACGGTGATTCGGGTCAAGGGCTCTATGTGATTCTGTAACTAGGATGCCTACATTTGGGCGTGCGGTCTTTATTTTGGTTGATTGTCTTTCATTGTGCTGCTTCTCAGATATAAAGATGCTCTGAATAATTTATACTTCTAAATAAATTGTATTTCTAAATAAATAGAAGATTATCCTATTTGGGAGACCTCGAAGTGGTGCACTGGCCTAGAAATACTAGAACAAAAACGTTGGTTTTCAAAAGCTGGAAGAAGTCCAAGATAAATAAGATAATTATAATGTTTTACATAAAAGGGAATAAGTATTAACGGTGATGTGTGCACTGATGTAACATTTATTTCAGTTTAGAAGTATTTTGGAAAAGTTCACATGAATAAGAGGGAAAAGTAACAATATTAATTCTTTACCTCAACTAATGAGCAGGATTTTTTAATGGATGTTGAGAAATGTTTTCTTCTGAAAATGATATTTTTGATGCTTTTTCTTTTTTGTACTTAAGAATATAACTGCCAAATGAATATGAACAGGGAGTAAATTCACTCAAGGCGAGCAGAAAACACATTAGCATAAAGTCTTAAAATAGGGCTGTGTGTGGGAGAGAGGCTAGAGCTCTGAACTTCATTAAGTCCATTGTGGAGGAGACATCTGGAATTTCATCCCAGGTGACGTGAGAGCAATACATGTTCCTGGTGATTCTGTCTTAAAACATAGCAGTTTAGCCAGGATTTGCTTGTACAATGTGTAATTTTAAATAATCATCTCCGTGAGCGATGAGCACTGGCCTACGTTGGGGAAGAACATGAGAGACAGTCAAAGAAGAAAGACTCAAGTTCCAAACGACAGCAAAGATAATTAAGTGAGGGGAAATCCAAGCCTGTTTCCCAAACTGGGCCAGTCCAGTTCTGACTTACTCACCTCACTCTTTCTTCCGTAATTATAAGCTCACAGAGAGAAGAGATCACGAGTTTCCCATATCCCCATCAATGAAGAGATCACATATCCAGTAAAAGACCAAGTGGATAGTTAATTTTCCAAGAAGTAAATCACACAGCACTTTCTGGGAGTAAAGGTCATTCAGGAGATATCATGTGAATTTAAATAACTATTCTTGTGATGGTGCAAAAGTTGCATAGAACACGGAGCCCTGAGTCAGTGAACATGGAAGCCCGGAGATTATAAAGGGGTAGGACACACCAAGAAGTTTCAAGAGGCTAAAAATAACATTGCAAACCTGAATCAAACCTGTGACTGAACAGGTCTTGGACCCTGGAGGGGGGGTGAACTTAAGATGGCCACCGAGAGGAACTGACGTCCAACCAACTGCACAGACTAGAGCTACTCTCAGACTGAAACAGAGAGGGCTCTCCCTCCAGTCAACAGACACAATGCAAAGGCCTATGGCTTTGAATAAGAAGAATAAGGTGACACATGCCTTTAATTCCAGCACTTCGGAGGCAGAAGCAGGCAGATCTCTGAGCTCGAGGCCAACCTGGTCTACACAGGGAGTTCCAGGCCAGCTGAAGCTACAAGGAGACTTTGTCTCAAAAGAGAATGAGTAAAACAGGTAAATAGTAAGGTGAGGTGCCCCAGTCCCATCCCAGAGTCACTGGTAAACACATTCAAGTTTGGTAGCTTGATAAGAGGGGACACTTTCTTTTAGCTTATAGTCTAGATTTGATTTCTAAAGCAGCTTTCTGTACAAAGATGTCTCCTGACATCTACCTGCTATTAATGTAAGTGCTTAAAATGTTATTTTTCTCTGTATAGTGCACATATGTGTATATGCATGTTTGCATGTGCATGGCTGCACTTGTGTCTCGAGTGCATGCAGAGGCCTGAGGTAGATGCTGGGAATCATCCTCAATGGCTCTTCGCAATCAAACCCACATGGCTAATCTTGCTAGCTGTTGGGCTCCGGGATCTGGTTTCTACCTTTCAAGGTTGGAGTTACAAATGGGCTGCCATGCCTCTCAGCATTTACATGGGTTCTGGGGGTTTGAACTCTGTTCCTCATGTTTGTGTGGCAAGTGCTGTAAAGACTGAGCAATCTCCCCAACATAAACATTGTTTTTGTGTTTGGGTGTTATGCCTGTATATATGTAAGTACACCGGTGTCGTACAATGCCTGTGAGGACAGGAAGTTATCCCCAGGAACTGGAATTACAGACAGGTGTTAGCCACCACATGGGTGCTGGGATTCGAACCCAGGTCTTCTGCAAGTGCGGCCAATGCTCTTAATTGCTATCTCTCCAGCCCCCTATTTTAGTTTTTTTGAGACAAGAGTTCATTTACACAGCCAGGCTGGATTGAACTTGGAAGCAATTATCCTGCCTCAGCCTCCTGAGTGCTAGAATTACAGGTGTGAGCCACCATGCCTGGCTGAGTTCATTCATATTTTTAAAAAATGTTGTGTATGTATGTGACTGTGTGGGTGTATATGTGTGTGAAGTGCCCCACCAACATATACATACATCAACAAATGAAAATGCACTTCTAACAACACACACACACACCCTACAGCTATACCTTTGAGCCCATCTCCCTCCCCAGGCACTGCTGTGCTTTCTCTACTCACTACAATTTACCTCACTTCTCATCAACACGCCAAGTATTGAACGCTTGTTTTCTACTTCATACACCCTCCTGGTCTTTGAAGTCTCAAGGGCACTTATTTTATTTCTATTCAGGGAAAACAAGACAGACCTTGAAGTCTTCAGTTAGCATCTAAGGAGATGTTTCTAGCCAATCTATGCTCAGAAGAGAATTTCCAACATGAAGAATTTTGATTGTGTGGCGTAAGCGCCTGCATCTGGCAGGTGTTAGCATCTAAGGAGATGTTTCTAGCCAATCTATGCTCAGAAGAGAATTTCCGACATGAAGAATTTTGATTGTGTGGCGTAAGCGCCTGCATCTGGCAGGTACTTTCCTCATCGTAGTAGTAAAGTGCCTAGCAAGAAGCAGGTTAAGGAATGAAGCACATTTCGGCTCCTGGTTTGAGAGGTACCATTCATCCAGATGGGAAGGCAAGGTGTTAAGGAATGAAGCACATTTCGGCTCCTGGTTTGAGAGGTACCATTCATCCGGATGGGAAGGCAAGGTACCACTTCATAGTAATGGGAAGTCGACGCTTGGATTCCTTACCTCCCCATACATCACAGGAACAGGAAGTGGAGATGTAACAGAAAGTGGTGTGGAGCTGTAAGTCTCCAGGCCCGCTTCCAGTGACCACTTCCTACAGCGAGGTTCCATCTCCTAAAGTTTCTATAACCTCTCAAAAAAGCACCACCACCTGGGAACCAAGTGCTCAAGCCCATGAGCCTGTGGGGAC